CCTGTCCCTGGTCAGTCTATTTTCAGTCACTGGAGAAACTGAGTCAGATGAATCCAGAAAGTGTATTTTCCCATCCCACCTCTCTGTCCACATAAGCAGAGAAGTAGGGCCAACGTTTTTTGCTTTGGGAAGTTTCAGGCTCAAATAGCAATTTGTTGAAAACACTTCAAGGCTATAGATGGAAAATCTATGAGAACTTGAGACAAAAACAAAGGCAATTGCCTAACTTAGTATATAATAAAAACATTTGAATGGGGAGAAAACTTAAGACTAGGAAGAAAAGGAATATCTGCTCATCATTCCTAATGCTAACTCTAGTGTTCGTTTTCAGTGCCTAATGTAAGGCCAGGCACCCAGTTAGCACACAATAAATATTAATTGTAAATACAGCTGTGAGTCTGCTGCTAGAATAATGTGGTGCCAGTTTTCCCAGAAATGAACAAATTGGCCTGAGGAACAGAAAGAGCAAGGGAAATGATTTAACCGGCTGGAGGAATGGATTGGAAAAGGAAGATTAAATCATATGCAGCTTGATCAGACGGTGATGAAGTGGCAAGGTAACCACCGTTTACGAAGATCTGAGGATATAAATGCCAAAGGGGCAAGGGAACCGTTCAGTTCATCATGTAGTGCTTGACTATGGTTGTTGATGACAAACACATAGTTAATTCTTACAGTTCTCTTGTTAATTTATTTATGGAGGACACCACAAGTGAGGCTTTGGAAAATACTTTGGGATTTCAGGCATCCAACAGCCCACAGCAGAAACAGTGCATAGTCGGGACATTGTGGTCTCTCTTCTGATCTCTTAGGGTTCTTTCACCTTCTGGATTCCCATCTTTGCTCCCTCTTCTCCCTGCCCTGTTCACCTTGAGTTTCCTTCACTCTCTTTAGGTCTCCCATCTCCTTTCCCACATCTACTCACAACAGACTTTTAATACTCAGAACTATTTCTCTTATCTCAGAACTTTCTCCATCAGACCATACCTACCTCTTAAAATCTCATGAAGCCCATTGCAAGAAGCTTCTAAACCAAGAGCAAGAGGCCTTCTCATCCTTGTTCTTTTAGAACCAAAGTCTTAGCAACCTGTGCCCAAGATGCCAGCAAGTCTGATGGCGGCCTGCTGCCCTTGAACTGCTCCAGCAGGGCAGAGGTGGGGCGTCTGAGGTCTGGGAGACATGGTCCCATTGCTGAGCTACTTCTGATCTGGAAAAGACAAACACAAGCACTTGACATGATGATTGAAGATTCTACCCCACTTCCCTCAAGCACGTCAATATAACCCACCAAACCACTTAAGAGGAATGATGATAATGCAGACATTGAGGGTGAATGAAGGGAACAGAACATGCCATATAAATGTTATATGCCAGCAGCTAGCTGAAAATGAGCAAAATATAACCACAATAATAGCATGACAATACTTCATATGCTGGAGTCCAGTGAATTAGTAGCATATACTCTCTCCAATATACAGTCATTTTGCAATTACTGGGAGATGACACCATCTCTCTAAGGAGTTTTTACTTTCCATTCCCCTCTGCAGTTATTATTATTATTACTGTTTAAGTGATTTCTGGAAAATCACCACAAAATTAGATCAACGGCTTTCTGGACTTGAAAGGGAAAGAGATTTCTCTTTCTTCTCTTTCTTTAAAAACTAACAAAACAAATGGAAAACAACAACAACAAAACAAGCCTCAAACAACAATATTGACCTCAGGCTTAGGGAAAGTTTATGTCAGTGCTTTTCAAATGCTATTCTACTTGGTTGCTTCAAAATGGCTTGAGCTGTCTTTAAAAACAGACCTCTGGGCCCCGCTGCTGACCTACACAATCAGAGTCTCTAGGGAGATGTTTGTCAACAAGACCAGTCCCTGTTTTCCTAGCGCTCCTATTCTGAAGAGAGAAAAAGATAGACAAGTAAATAGATAATTATTTAGTTATTGATAAAGTGCTAATAGGAAACAAAGCCGGATAAGAAATTAAGCAGTGATGGGCTTAAGGGTGCCGCTATATTTATTTGGGTGGCCCAGGGAGGCCACGCAAGTGACATTTAGGAAGAAACCTGGATGATATGGAGTGAACCACATAAATATTTGTGGGAGAGCATACCAGGCACAGGGAACACGTATGAAGGCTTCTGGACGGGGACTAGCCAGAGGGCTTGGGATCTGTTAATGGTGGCATGCGTAAGAAAGAAGGTGATAGGGCTGAGGTCACACTAAGCAGGAGGCAGGTTCTGCAGGGCCTCACAGGCCACATGAGACATTTTTGTTTCCTTCTAAGCAACGTATGCAGCCACAGTTAGAGCCACTGACAGTGATGGTGAAGCCTCCTTTATCCTTGTGCTCATTGGAAACCTAAATCTATCTGACCGAAGGGTTTGGGGCAGTAGTCAAGTCGTCAGCAGGGAGCAGGGACAATGGTAACTAAGCTTTCCAAATCAGTTCAGCTAAAAGCTCATTTATTGAGGTCTCTGCACTTGCTTCAGGGAAGGCTGTCAGGAGGAGCAACATGAGAATAAGGGCAAGGAGGTGCCAAGAAAAAAGAGGCTGTGAAGAAGAGAACGTTCCTGTCAGAGGTGACTCCACAAGAACAGGCACAGGTGCCAGAACCAACATGGCACGCCTGGGAAGAAACACACCCTGGATTTGCTGAAATGTAAGACATAGGCAATTTGTTTTTCTCCAGAGGCAAGGAGAGTTTCATAATAGCCTTTCTTAAAAGACGGATGGTGGCTTGACTTTTTTCTTGTGTGCAAAAAGTAAATAAATAAGTCATTGATTCTTTGCTTACTTGAAAATACAGTCAATATTGTCTTTGAAAAAAATGAAGGTTTTTGTATTCCCAGTTAAACTTGTTGCAAACTCTTGTTTTGGCTGGTGTATACTGCTATTTAAAACCTGTCTTCCGAAGGTGTGATGAAGGCTTGGGAGTCTGCAAAAACCCAACAGCAACCTTTTACAATTCCGCTTATTACAATTGTGCATTTTGCTGACAAAGTCACAGACGGTAAAATTAAGGCAAATGCAAACCACCCATTCTGACGGCAAGTAATATATTCTTTTTGCTCTGTTAGCAAAGACTTTGAAAAATGTTAGCGAGGTACTTTTTTACTGTTCTGCTATTTAATATATGCTCTATGAAGCAGGTAGAAGGTAATAACTATCATTGAAGTTTTTGTGGAATTGAATATAAGCAGTACACACATGTACATACATATATACATATACACATACTTATATACATATGCAAATAGAAGCAAACATATGTATACACACATATATGCATATACTATATATAATTTTCACATCAGTTACCATCTCCTACTTACTTTCATAAAATGTTCTTACAGTGTCTTCCAAACTGATTTCAGTAACTTAGTCACCTATGGTTCTGAGTAAAAAGTCTTAAATTGAATACAAATATGCTTATTCAAGGTCTGAGGTTGGTAGTCCAAGGCTAGAATAGAAACTACTAATAAAAGAGTTGCAATTTAGGCACTAACTAGGATATAAATAACCCGGCATTTCTCAAACCATAGGGTTAGGGTCAGGGTTAGGCATACTCATTGGAATTCAAAACCAAAAGGCATTAATAGTCACCTCATAGAACAAAATGTAAAAATGTTCAATGATGAACATATGGATGATGTTATGATTTATATTCCCTAAGGGATCTGAAAAGTCTAGCATTGGAATATGCAGATAGTTTTGTGTGCTCCAACATTTCCAAAACTTATTTGAACATTTTCATAGGCACTCATTCATATGAGCTTCTGTAACATAGTTTCCCTTTTTTCTCTATACATTTATCATAACCAAGACCTCATGTAGAAATAAATCTTATTAATGCCTCCCCTTGTGTTTTGTTTACAAAACACAAAGGTTAGCTCCTCATCATTCCCAATTGCACATGGCTAACAGACCAGTCTTCCCCAAATTAAACTTTTATAAAAGAAGATTATAATTTAGAAAACTTCATTAGTAGGTCAGATGTTGGCTTAGTCCATTTGAGGAGCTATAACATAATACCTTGGACCGGGTAATTTATAAACTGAAATTTATTGCTCACAGTTCTGGAGGCTGGGAAGTTCAAGATCAAGGCTCCGCTAGCAGGTTCAGTGTGTGGTGAGGGCTCACTTTACAGCATCTTCTATGTGTCCCCACTTGGTGGAAGGGGCAAACATGCTGCCTTCAGCCTCTTTTCTAAAGGCACTGATCCCATCTGGGAGGGCTCTGCAGAGCCCTCACACTTAATCATTCCCCTAAAGATCTCCCACAACCTAAAACTGTCACATTGGGGATTAACTTTTAACACATGAGTTTTAGGAGACACAAACATTCAGACCATAGCAGTTGTCTTCAGAGTAAAAGCTGAATGTCATGGTCTGGATTTAAGGGTCCTCCTCCCTCCCTTCCACCTCTAGGTCCCACTACTCTTCTCAAAAAACTTCCTTGCTGGCCACACTTATTTACCGTTCCTACAATTATCTTTCTTCCTCTGTCCCTTTGTTCACACCTTCTGCACGACTAGAGTTCTCCCTATGGATAGTCATCTCCAGTAGGAGCACTTCCTGTTGCCTCCAGAACCCACGTCCTCCTCCTCCTCCTCTGTAGCATAAACAAGATCACTCCCTTCTCTGAGCTTTTCACATTGTGCTGCTGCTTCCACCACATGGACAGTTGGAGAGTGAGGAGTTAGAGTGGTTAAGAACAGCATAAGATAGGAATAGAGTACTTCCCTACATCTGCCTATCTGGATGAACTTGAACAAGGTACTTAACCTCTCTTTGTCCCAAATCATCTTGGAAGTAGTTGAGAATGTACAATGAATTAACAGTGAAATCATGGTTAACATTTCATGTTTTTCTTTGCATCTCTAACCACATTATAAGCACTCCTATCTTTCATTCTCCTATTACTCCTGGCATAGTGCCTTGGGATTCAAGGAACAAATGCCCTACTGCCTCCATTGCCACCCATTCTGCAAGTTT